AAGTAATAAATGAAATTATATTTATATATTTTGAGTATGAAATAGAAGAAAGGTCCGTCCTGGGAAGTATCACGACTTCACAGAAGACCAGCGTGAAGTATTATACTTTTACGATTCGTCTGGTTACGGTGGCTACAAAGATACATAACATTTCAGGCATAGTGCCAAGCGCGCATCCCACTTGCGTGATAATATTACGGATCGATGTCGATCCCATCTAGCCTCATCTTCCGTGGTGGTTTTGGAACTTTAGGTTTAGAAATTTCAGGAATATTTTCATAATCTACAATGACAGTTATAAGTTTGCAATTTTGTAATTAAAATTGTAGTGCTTTTGAAATGGCAATGAATCCATATTATAAAAAAAGGAGAAGGTTAAATCAATCTTTTTATTTAATAAAAAAAGTAAATTTTAAAGCATCCATTAAAATATAGTTATATAATAAAAATATGATAATACATGTATATATAAATATAAATCAAATAAATATCAAACAAATAAGCCAGTAAAAAAGTCTGTAGTTTACACTGTTATCTTGGATTATTTATTACGTTCCAGGTTAATTGTCTTTGGAGTTGTACTTGAAAGGAATTATGGGTGGAATTTTAACAAAGTATTTATTAAGCTCATTTGCAACAACAGAGTGTGATCTATCAACTAGACTGGTTTATATCATCATTATCTTTCTTGGTGCTGAAGTAACACAAAGTTACTGCAATGAAGTAATTACTGTTAATTGTGAGTTCTTTTACGTTATTTGCCTTAATTTAAAAATGATTACAAGCCAGACAAAATTTGTAAATTTATTCGTTTAGTTTTTGATGTCTTTTGTTAGATGATTAGTTTACAATCAATAAAGCAATATTACTGGGTTTTTAACATATGTTTTTGTTTAGTAATAGACAAGTCATAATAGTTATGATAATAGTGTCCGAAAAATAATCGCAAAAACGAATAAGTAGGTTATCAGATTATTGACAATACAACCGCTTTTCAAAAAGTTTCTGTCACGCAAGACTACTTTGAGACATATTTAGAGAAATCAATTGACTACAGCTGTTACCAGACTTGGGCTATTTTAGAGTCCTCACGTAGGGAGCCTCTGGACTCTGGTGTTTACAATGGTCATGGGCAGCAGTTTTCTTTTATGGTTATCAAGTGTTATGTGCTTAGTATCAGGTAAGCCGCATTCGTTTGCCACATTCTCCATAAAAAAAGTTTGTGCCGTTCGTGACTGGTCCTGTAATTTCATATTTATCTCGTTTCACTACTATTTGTTTTGTTTTTAGACTGAATTGGCCAGAGCTTGGTCATTACCACACCTCAAGATAAGTGCCTATGAGGCTGTAGCACTATTCACTTTTGTTTTGAAGGCGCCGGAGATTTTGTCAACTATGGTAACGTTACTTCGACAAAGACAGGATTTATTAGATCTTACTAAAAATATAAAGAGAAACTGTATGTATGACTCAGTATTTAAGTCTACGTCAAACATTATTTGATTTTTTTATGTGTGGAATATAAATTTCGATACTGCCTCGCAGAGCCTCCGACGAAAAAAAAGGATGTCATAAGTTTGACGTGTGTTTCTGTGTATCTGTGTGTCCGTCTGTGGCATCGTAGCTTCTAATCGTGAAAAACACTGCATCATAATCGGTCTATTACTGATTATGATGCAATTTTTTTTGTTTGAAAGGCTGACGCGATCGAGATGTTTTTGACTATAATTTATGAAGATCTATTTCGTAGTTTGAATAATCATCAGCTCATTTATTACTTGACAAAAATGGTCTTACTAATTTCCACAGATCCGATTCCGCGATTCGTTTGAAATTTCGTGTACTGATACTTCCAATTAAAAAAATATTTTAAAAAAGTATACTTATGAACATATTAATGAATAAAATCTATAATTAAAATGCTACTATTAAGGTACAGAATTGAATTTCAAGCAGAGGCTACCTGAATAAACAGTGGTTCGGTAAAAAGGTTATCTTTAGTTTTGTAAAAATGAGTAAGGTTTTGGACAATGCTTTAACATTTTTCTGAATTTTATAGAAAACTAGCTGATCCAGCTTATAGAATTTCGTAAAATACGTTCTTAGCTGACCTCTACTCGGTGAAAGGACTATTCCTACCATATTTCAAGTCTCTACGCCATGTGCTTCCGGAGATATCGTGATAAGTCAATTATCGGTGGAAATCTCTTATATAAATATATATTGATATAGATAGATAGAGTAAACCTAACGTAAAAAACGAAATCTATTTTTGTTCTTTTTATTTTAATTACATATTTAAATTCCCGGCGTTTCGAACAAGCGTTTATGGTCACGGGACAGACTGGTTGTTTTAATGGCAGAGTTGGACTACCTTCAATCATTTTATTATCTATTTTATTTTATCTACGCAAATGGTATCTTTAAGTCTAGCAGTGTCGGTATGATTGGATTTAATTTTATAAATTATGGGACAACATGGAGTAGAGTAGCCAGAGAGAGATCAGAATGGAGTAGGTTCGAAGCCTTTGCCAACTGGCAAACGGACTTGCAGGTGATGAAGAAGCACCAAATACACGAATTTTAATTATTTAATTAGGTAAAAAATATATGTTATATTGCAGTTGTTTAAGTAACAAATAAAAGGCTTTATTTGTTTTCTCGTCTGGTTGGGTATAGAATTAGAAATAAACATATATACATTCATTCATTCATTCATTCATATACAGGAAGACTTTTTTAAAGGTGCCCAAATTTACACAGGAGGTTCAGACTCGGTAATATAGTATTTTTATTAAATAAAAACATTACAATTTAAAAAAAAAAATTACCATTCTATTCCCTAAAAACAACGCGGTAGTCATTCATAAATACTTAAATTTTACTGTTCACGCACATAAACGAACTTGTGTGCGTGTAAGTTATGAATGATCGCGCGTAAAATATATGAGTTGCGTATAAATCACACACTTTGGAGATAAGTTCAAATAAATATAATTAATTACTTACGAGTGATTTAAAATATTTATCATTTTTATATAACATTATTTATGTCTAGAATTTAATTAAAAAAATGGATACACTTAAAAAGGTTTCCTTTATATATTGCATACTTATATAAAATAAATATTATAAATAAAAAAAAACATATTGATATCTATCTAATACCTTTAGACGAGCAATTCTTGTATATATATATAATCGGAATCTCGGAAACGGCTCCAGCGATTTTCATGAAGGAAAAAACCGGCGACTGTGCCCGGTCCCTCGCCCCGATATCAGGTTTTTCGCGACAATCGTCCTGTCCGTGATAATGGGCCGGTCCCAATAGAGCCTGGCGCGGTCATTTTCACATTGCACGGCCTCCAGATAGTATTTATAGTACGGCAGTTTCCGATCTACGAGTCCGTACTTCAGAGCGAGCTCCTAGAGGAGGAATCTGGCTACTAGGTTGTTTCTATGCAGATACTTTATTATTATCACTTGCAGATACTTTATTATAACCCTACCATCTTCTCTACTGAAATTAGAATTTTCTTTATTTTAATAATCTCGCGGATCATCCTTGGGAAGAATCGGTGATCTTTTGCGAGTATTTGCGGTATGTCATATCCAATGTAGTGGTTGGAGTTGTCAAGAAGTTTGCATGTTCTAATATAGCGTTGTTAAATGAAAGCCATTTCGAGAATAATCCATTTAGTATCGATATATTTATTCTCCATGCCTACATACTTAACGGTGCCGTAAGACGTAACGACATTAGCCTGCTTATATTCAACGGAATACAGGGAGGGATTTATAGAAAGAAATAAGAATAGAAAAATTATATCAATGATAGCGAAAGTATCACTTTCAACTTAGTCCATCTTTTCAAATCTTAAATCAACCTCAGTCGTCTCAATCAATTTATGTCCAACACCACATAATAAACCATCTCGTACTGGGGACGGGCGTGAAATATAAATCCATTTTTTGTGCAATGTTTCTAATAATGTGTGCCCATTTGCGGTATTCTTCATCATAAGATGAACTTCTTGCTATAAATATATTTCAAATAAAAACGTCCTTGAATTTTGACCTTTGTTTTATGGTTATACCTTTTAGTTACAACCATAAAATAATGGTTATACATTTTATGTATAGCCATAAAAACAACAATTTTGTTATGATTATCAAAGAAAGGTACTCAATAATTGTGAATAATCTTCCCTTAGCTGTTATTCTTCCTATATTCATATCTCTTACAAGTATTCAGCATTAATATGTTGACTTCGCAATTGCGAACAAATGGTTCGCTTTGTTTTTTCAAACTTGTTGTGTATTTGTGTTGAGGAATTAGTTGCAAAGGAATAATAGCTTTCTCGTTTATGCGCCCGAAGTTTTAACATAAGAATTTTCAAAGTTCAGTATTCTGAAAAGCATTAAGTTTGTCTCAACATTGAGAGTTCGGTTTTTTTTTTTGCGTTTTACAACTTCATTTAAAAACGTCAGTAAAAAACTGCAATTCAAATACAATTAAATTATTTTTTAACTGCGATTTTAACCCTCCCTGTACACTAATGTGCAGCGAAAAGTAGAAAATGGGAATTCACTTCTAAGACGTTACCTATATCTAATTATGAATATCGATTTTCAGTGGCAACGTTGTGCAGTAAGTCGGACAACGAATATAAAAGGGGCTTGCGACGGTGCTGAAGACGAGTAGCCTCCGCAACACAGCCTCGGCATCCAGAGCCGGAGATTGGTTATAGCACACTAAAGACTGGAGTAGTTCGTATAACGATTTTCTTCAGTATTTTTGTTACTAACCATCTCAGGCTCACATCCCCCATCCCCTTTTTTGTAAGTCATATAAGAAAGTAAAATGTAGTTTTTACAATGTGTCCTTCATTCAGCTAAATCATTATTCTCTTTCATGGTTTAATAATGTTTCATGATTTTCTCAACAAGGTCTCGTTTTAATTTCCATGCAGATATCCAAATTCTAAGAACTGAACACAATGGCGATCGTAAGCCTCGACCCCGGCCTAGGAGCGACCTCGGTGGAATCATGGGGTGGCCAGACGGCGGCTTTCGGCTCCAACCAAACCGTCGTTGACAAAGTCACCCCGGACATGCTGCACCTCGTAGATCCACACTGGTGAGTCCTTTAAACCTAAAATGACTCGTATAATTTACCTTCTTAGTGCCCCTATTCTGTTGATTGTATCGCAAAGTTGGCATAATTAAAAATTATCATGTCAGAAAAATGTTTCGTAGAACGATTAGAAATATCTTATTATATTATAGCACAATCCGACCTGAGGATTTTGAAAATTCCTAGTGTTATATTTCCGTTCCAAATAACTCATTGAGCATGTACCGTCATTTCAGGTACCAATTTCCACCTATGAATCCCATGTGGCATGGTTTGTTGGGTTTCACGATCGGTATATTGGGTTTTATTTCAATAACGGGTAATGGAATGGTCGTTTACATATTCACAACTACCAAGGTACCTTAAATCTAATATATATTTTGTTATTTTCGAGCTTTTCTATGTTGTAACACTATTTTAACCATTAACAGAGTCTTAAGACACCCTCGAACTTGCTGGTGGTCAATTTGGCTTTCTCCGATTTCCTGATGATGCTCACTATGGCTCCACCGATGCTCATTAATTGTTATTACGAAACGTGGACCTTTGGTACGTAAACGAGTGAAATAACGTCATATTCAAAATACGTACATGCCTTAGTGGCATGACTGATTAAACTACTTTTTTGGTCCGTTACAGGTCCGCTAGCTTGCGAAATATACGCTTGCTGTGGGTCACTATTCGGCAGTATATCGATTTGGACCATGACCATGATCGCCTTCGACCGATACAACGTGATCGTTAAAGGTATTGCGGCAAAGCCAATGACTATCAATGGAGCACTCTTGCGCATCCTTGGGATCTGGCTCTTCTCGCTTGTATGGACTCTTGCACCCATCTTTGGTTGGAACAGGTATAAAACATATGAGGTTCGATTTACAATGAGAATTTGACACTATAAGCCTAATATTAATTTCATTATCGATAGGTACGTACCTGAGGGCAACATGACTGCTTGTGGAACTGATTACTTGAGCAAGGATTGGGTCAGCCGCAGTTACATCCTCGTATACTCCGTCTTCGTATACTACACGCCCCTATTGCTTATCATTTATTCTTACTTCTTCATCGTACAGGTAAGCTATACGACTATTGTGAAAATCCTTCAAGATAATTTTCTTTTTTTTTGTGAAAAGTTGTCAACCGAGCAGGCGGTTCACCTGATGTTAAGTGAATACCGCCGCCCATGAGCATCTACTACTCTCGAGGGTTTGTAGGTGCATTGACCAACTTTTAAAAAGGGGCCTCGGCTACCTCACTCACCAGACGAAATGCGAAAGTATTATACTTTCACTTTACACCGGTCTTTTGTGAGGTCCTAGTACTTTCCCGGATGAGCCTGCCCATTTGTGCAACAGAAGAAGCTGCTGCGTGGTCCTACTACAGTAAAATCTATAAACGCTCGTAAAAATTACATATTTTTGTTCTTTAGGCTGTAGCAGCTCACGAAAAGGCAATGAGGGAACAGGCAAAGAAAATGAACGTGGCTTCCCTGCGATCATCAGACGCCGCAAATACAAGTGCCGAATGTAAACTGGCCAAGGTACTAAAAATGTCCATTTTGTAATATTAAACACTTCAAAAACGTTTCTTAACTTAATTTTTGTGCTATAAAGGTTGCACTTATGACCATTTCACTGTGGTTCATGGCCTGGACTCCATATTTGGTCATCAACTACACGGGAGTATTCGAGAGTGCACCAATCAGTCCCCTCGCCACCATTTGGGGCTCAGTGTTTGCCAAAGCCAACGCCGTTTACAACCCAATCGTATACGGCATCAGGTTAGTGACAAGATTTACTATACAAATAGTATGACTATAGTAGATGAAGTGTATGAATATAGTAGATGTAGACGACCTGTGCAAATGTACGGTCGATGGATACAGGTCGCTCAGGGTCGGGCTTCGGGACAGTTTGTCAGGATGCCTTTGTCCAGCAGCGAATGGAACAGGGAGAAAGGATGATTATGATGATAGTAATGGATATCTTAAAATCCGCGCAAAAACCTATGTCAATGATGAATAAAAGCATAACAAAAATACCAACAACATTCCTCTGTGTCACTGCTTACTATCTAACTTACAGTTATTGAATATTACGTCATTTCCGTGATTATTTAAACATTCTGTTCTTAATGTATGTGTTATTGATTTCAGCCATCCCAAATATCGAGCTGCTCTGTACCAAAAGTTCCCGTCTCTGGCGTGCCAACCGTCAGCAGATGAGACATCGGGTTCTGTGGCCTCCGGTGCTACTACCGCCTGCGAAGAAAAACCATCAGCCTAAGCCCTCCGAGTGATCGACAGCTAAACAACAAAGACCGACCCGCCGCTGCCCCTGGACTTGAAACTTCTAAAACAACGTTATTTATTATTTTTATACGGAAACGTTTACATTTGTACAAAGTCGAAGCACTTGAACACAGAGCACGAGCTTTACGAAAAACATCCAGGACAACGTTACGTAATTCACTGGAATACATCACATCGATGAAAAATCCTGCATATTATGAGTTCACACCTGTGTATCAAGTTGGGAGTTGCACACAATTGCTATTTTGTTTGTATGCATCGGCTGACGGAAAAAAATCTCACCAAAAAAATTTGAACCAAAAAGCGTTTCGTCAGGCCGCTCCAGTAACCTAAGAGACTGCTCCTTTTAGTTTATAAGTATGACAGATAATTGCGATGAAACAAGCTGTGTATCTTGGACAAATGAAACTAATAAACAGCACGATGGTAACTAAAGAAAACTGGACTTTATTTTTATCCTATATAACACAATGCATTTCATGTATGTCACAAAATCACAATTTGCTTATTTTAATTTAAATATGTATAATATGCGACACGTAATATACATACAATCTTTACTTAAATTAAATTAATTACAAATTCTAAATGGTAAATCCAAAATGATCACACCCAAACCATACTTATAAAGTGACATAATAATAGATAATGATCTCTACATTATCTAAATCTACTTTGGATAAAGATCGAGTTAGGGAGGTCCAGGATTTAGTATTCTTACAACATTTTAAATTACAAGATGCCATCTTTTCGTTTTTATTAATTGATTCTAAATTCGACAGTATAACCTACATAGACGCCGACGTACCATAGACTTCAAGATCGGCTTATTAGGATGTAAATGTGTGGCGCGCAGTCCTGTTATTTACTAATCATACCTAATCGGTTATAAGTTCCGTCACATGTTTATTGTTAAATAATTAACACAATCATGTTTCTTTTTACAGTGACCATTTATGTACCAAAAGGAACTTACTATAATTACTTAACTTACTTAGATTCTCATGCTAACTAGAAGCCTAGTTTAGCACGTTAGCACGTCAAAACGGTCCCCGCGATGTACACAAACTGTACAGCCTGCCGTCTATAGCAGCACGAAGGAGGTCAATATCAGTGGCTGCTTTGATGAAGGATGCTTGGAGAGACTTCAAGTCAAGATGAGGTTTAGAGCAGGCCTTTTCCACCAAATGTTGCCATATTTTAAAATCCAACGGATTTCATTCTGGACTGGAAGAGGGCCAGTCTTCGTTAAATTAAAATTCAAATATCTTTGTTCAATATAGAAGCCTTATACTTATTCATAAAAGAAAATTCTGAAGCAGTAAGGTATTGCTAAGGGTCACCAATGCTTTCAACAATGTAGACAGGAGACCCAGGTAAGAGAACATATTCCAGTCGCCTACCATTACCTGTGTCAATGTAACAGCAGTCAACAAAGCTGATGTATAAACAAAACGAAATAATATCAGCAGTTGGCTGCCAGCAAGGTGACCCGCTTAGTCCAGCCCCAGTTTCAGTTTGGCAATCCACCCACATGTTACAAGTTTACGTTCTAAATTTTAAAAACGTTTGGTATCTGGATGATGGGGCACTTGGTCTTTAATGATAGCCTTTTTTCTAGATTCTAGTCTATTAGTCTAACTTAACTTTTCGAATTTTGAACTTTTTATTGAAAACAATATACCTCTTTTTAAAAAAAATCAGCTCATTTATGAATTCAACGCCTTGGCCTCTAATTTAAAAATTGTAAACAACGAGTTGCTTCGCCTTCTAGGTGCCCGTATCTTGGAGGACTCGTTTCAAAATTTTGTTAATGATCAGAATTTAAAATTTGAGGAGTCATCCAGACGACGTCTAAAAGAAATTAACCCACACATGGCATATGCTCTATTAAAATTCTGTCTTGTTGTACCAAATTTCACATATTATGTGCTGCGTTGTTCTACCTTTTGGAAAAATCGTCTTGATGATCTGATGAGGAAAACTGTTAGCGAAGTTCTAAATTGTTGTTTAAATGATAACTCCTGAATTCAGGCCACCCTTCCCATCAGAGTCGGTGGCCTAGGCATCCAAAAGTTATCCAGCGAAGTGCAATAAGCGTTTTTGTCAACAGCCCATATTATGTTAGACCTTGTTAGTAAAATTATAAGCCCATTAATTGGTGAAGAGGTTTCGTATTTGACTGAGGCCAAGGACGCTTGGCGTGTTAAAGTTGCGTTGGACCAAGATTTCCCAATAAGAGCAGCTTCGCAGATGCTTTGAGACGAGCCGCTCTGCATACACTTGTAGGCTTGCTACAGGAAACTTCATTTTCTTTTGCAGTCAGCTTGAGACTTGGAGTAAAAATCAATGAAACCTATCGGTACCGTTGTGGTAAAAAGGTTGACCATCTCGGTCATCATGGCCTAGCGTGCCAGAACGGCCCACTTTGCAGACCAAAGTGGGCCCGTTTTTCTTGAATACGACTTGTGTTGACACGTTAGCGCCGTCACATGGTTCGGGAACTGCTCGCAAGGCACGCTCTGCTGCAGCAACAGCAGGGTGTATGAAACGCCGCAAATACATAGCCTTTCGTTATTTGAAGGGCTATATATTTTTCACGAACAAATTTTTGCCGAACAGTGTTTTTATGCCGCGTTTTTAACAAAGCACGGGATCTCTTCAGTCTCAGTCAAAGTCAAAGTCAGGATAAATACCATTTATCAAAATGTCTACGCAGTTGACACATTTAAATATAAAGTTAAACAACTTATAAAATGTCATCTGTAGCATCATTATGAGCGAAATCCTGTATCCACGCCTTTAGTGAGTTACAAGTTAAAAGTCCAAAATGTGTTTTCAATAAATCGTTGCTAAGGAACCGTAATATAAACAATACACGCTTACTTCTTTTTGACGCCTGCGAGAAAGTCGAGACGAAATAAATAAAAAGAGAAGAAATAAATATATAATGAATAACAAAATGACCTGTAAAACATCATTTGAATTTTATCACAATTTTCCAAAACTCGCAGAAGAATCCGGATTTACATTCAATACACATAAGCCCAGAGTTCGTGTTGAATGGAACAAAATTCGTAAGTACAAATTTATAGAGTTACTTTCCCATAACTGACCCCTTTGTATAACTCAAATTAAATTACATCTTATCACATTATCCGATAACTAAAATCTATTTTCGTTTCAGGTATAATCGATATTGAAAGTCTCATACGGGATCGTAGGTTTGTGCTTATTGAGCAGCATTTAAACGACGTAAGGATAACGTACTAATTTTACTTCATTTTTTATATTTTATTTAGTTTAAATTTCTCTCTTTTAATCTATTTTACATGATTTGATTAAAGTTTTTAGTTCTAAAACTTATCATTAATACAGTTATATTACTTTTTCGGTTGGTTACATTACATGGTTAAGTCAACTGTTCGCATCGCAAAACGGCAGTTAACATAACCTGATATTGTCACATTATTTTAGAAGACTATAAATGTATAGATAGAGACTAAAATTTATTTACACACAATTTTTTTGTATTAAGCAAATTTAATTTTGTCTACATTAGAGTAATTAACACCTTTATTTTAGTCCCTTACTTAATTTTTAGGGCTATTCTAGTATAGCGCTAACCCATATCAGAAATATTTATATTTTAATTTAAAACATTTGATTAAACAGTAAATAGAGATAGTTAATCATTGTTTTATAAGTATAATGAACTATTTAATTTTGTCACGACTGTGATTATTTTGGGGCTTGTACCAACAAAGCTTTTTATAAAATTTCGGATTATTGTTTTAGATTTTAGACTGTGGTTTAGAATCCGAATTTGATGTTCGAATCCTCGATGAAGGAGTTTTAAAAATGTTTCGTCTAGCACAGTTGGCTATTGAGTATCAACAGTTTTGTCGCCAATATCTCGACCGCAGTGTTTATGTTTTACGAGAAGAAATCACGACTCTGGCACAGGTAAGAAATGGAAACGTTTGTTTAAACAAAACTTTTATTTTTAAAACAAGAGTGTGAAATATTATGAATTTCGTTTTTAACGTGCTATTGACGTTTTACAAAAAAGTTTTGTTTAAAGACTTGCTTTACAAGTTTTTCGCACCAAATACACAGGGTATTATTATATTTATATTCTTCATTTAAGCGGCCTTTTCCTTAACCGTCGAATAGATCTTTTCACTATCGATAAGGAGCTTACTTTGTTTTCTCAAGGATCTTATCTTTCGCCTTCTCTTTTTGCTCTACATGTACTCGTATGACATCCGGAAGTAGCTGACTCTCTCTTTCCGAAAATTACACTACTCTATACTGAAAATTTTCTAGGACGCTATCAAAGGATCGTTGGTGGCTCTTAAAGATCTCTTTTGATCGTTCGCTCACCGGTATTCGTATAGCAACGTTATATGCAAACGGACTCTCTGCAGCATTAGTATTGTGGTAGGAAAAAAAACAGTAAATATTTTTATTAGTTATAAAAATATTTACTAATATAATTATTAGTTCAATTATCATTTGAAATTTACAGTGTTGCTATTCGATGTTTCGATTTATTTCCAACAATGCATATTTATAACTAGCTGTTGCCCGCGTTTACGTCCGCGTGGAATAGGATGAAAGCGAAAAATTCAGACAGATACAGACAGAATTCTATACATATAATAAAAATGTAACTTGTCTTTGTCTGTACATGGAAGATATTTGAGAAAAACTATTATTAAAGATCCCCCTTTATCCAATTTTTGTCCGTGTGTATATGCGTTTGTGCGCGTAATCTCAGAAACGGATTAACCGAAGCAACGTTGGGTGCAACTTTTACTTATGAATTGTAGTACTTTACTTAACATTTAGTGTTAGTTTTATTCAAATCGGTTCATAAATAAAAAAATTATATCAACTTAAAAAAAAGTAATCGATACAGCTGAATTGGATGAAAGTATAGTTAACTACAATTATATTATTGTCTGT